TATATATATATATATATATATATATATATAATATATATTATATATATATATAAGAAAAACCACAATGCACAAACTAGATTTATTGATGAAAGTGAGACAACAGTTTCGGAATCGTCCTCGATTCCATCTTCGGGTCAGACCCGAAGATGGAATCGAGGACGATTTCGAAACTGTTGTCTCACTTTCATCAATAAATCTAGTTTCTTCATTGTGGGTTTTTCTTCCATATTATCAACACGGTATTGTATTTTTCATTGCATATATATATATATATATATATATATATATATATATATATATATATATATGTGTGTGTGTGTGTGTGTATACATCATGATCATCATCAGGGGGCTAACGCCAACTCTTCGCTTCCTCCACCCAGGGTTTTCTCGAACAGAGACGACCTGATGATCATCCTGAGGAAAGTGAGCCAGATGGCTGTATAGCCTGAGTTGGCGATCAGGTCCTGAGCCAGTCTTACGGTGCAACCGCTGGTTGGACACATGGTCCCACCAACAGTACCCCATGATCAGGCGGAAGGACCTATTTACAGAAAGCATCAAGGCGTGACTCCAAGGCACAGGATAATGTCCAGGTTTCACTACCGTATAGCAAAACTGGCATTATCGGGGCCTTGAAGACAAGGGTTTCGCTTCACTGCTAAATACATACAGAGCCACCACTAAAGTTTCCAAAGACTCAGATAGAATAGCATCATCATCAGCAAAGTCAAGGTCTGTAACCTTGATATTGCCCAGCGTTGCTCCACAATGACTTTGAACAGTAGCCCAAGGATACAACTATTGTAGATTACCAGGAGTGAATCCGGATTGCTCCAGTCTCTGGTGCCTCAGTAGATGGTCTCTGATACATCTCAGAAGGATGTGGGAGAGAACCTTGCTTGGTATACTGAGCAGTGTGATGCCTCGGTAATTGCTGCAGTCCCAACTGTCCCCCTTACCCTTCCAGAGAAGGATGACCACACGCCTCAACAGGTCAGGAGGAACGGTACCAGATCGCCAGATGGTAGCCAGGATAGCATGCAACCCCCGTGCCATAGGTTCTGTAACCTTGATATTGCCCAGCGTTGCTCCACAATGACTTTGAACAGTAGCCCAAGGATACATCTATTGTAGATTACCAGGAGTGAATCCGGATTGCTCCAGTCTCTGGTGCCTCAGTAGATGGTCTCTGATACATCTCAGAAGGATGTGGGAGAGAACCTTGCTTGGTATACTGAGCAGTGTGATGCCTCGGTAATTGCTGCAGTCCCAACTGTCCCCCTTCCCCTTCCAGAGAAGGATGACCACACCCCTCAACAGGTCAGGAGGAACGGTACCAGATCGCCAGATGGTAGCCAGGATAGCATGCAACCCATGTGCCATAGGTTCACCACCAGCCTTTAACAGTTCAGCTGGTATGCCGCAGATACCTGCTGCTTTACCACTTTTCAGCTTGGAGATCGTCCCCCCTAACTTCAGTTAGGGGGGGAGGATCCACACTGATGGGTGGGTCCGGCAACGGAATCTCGGCACTACCCGTATCCAAGTTAACTGTTGGAGGGTCAACCCGGTATAACTGCTCAAAATACTCAGCCCAACGTTCCCGCACCGCAACAGGATCTGAGACGATCTGACCACTTACTGAGCGAACTGCTGTCACCTGTGAAGAGGGCTTGAAGTTCAGCTTTCTCAGCGCTTGGTATGCAGGACGAAGATCATTTACTAAGAAATGGCCTTCTACCTCCTCTGCAAGACTCCTAGTAAACTGTTCCTTGTCCCATCTTAACAGAGACCGAGTTCTGCGCACATGAGAACGGTGCAATTCCCGCTCCCCTGTTCAGACGAGCCGCACAACAAGCATCTGTGGCTTCCAGTGTCTCCTGCGAGATGAAATTCTGTATTGCTCTCGGGCGTACACCAATCGTCTCTTGAGCTGCATCAAGCGTTTCACGCTTGAAGGTATCCCACAAAAGAACAGGGTCCATCTGGGGGGAGTTTTGAAGTGGACCCGGAGGGTAGCCACAACCAATCTATGGTTAGTACCACAGAACTCCTGCACACCCTGCAATTCTGGAGGATCTCCTTGGTTGCATTTCTCACTACCGGCATCAGCTCCTGAACCATGGGGACCGACAGACATCTCGTAGCCAGCTCGATCACAGCCAGATACCGCATTGAAGTCACCCTGAACAATGCGAATATCTCGCCGGGGGCACCTGTCTGCCACAGATGCAAGTTTGGTGTAGAACATTTCTTGCACGTCGAGTAGGAGCGTACACAGCAATAAGAGACATGAAGCCAAAAGACAGCTTCAGTCTCATTACCATTATACACACATCAACAGGAGTAAAATCTGCTACTTGTTATCGTTATTGTTATTGTTATATTTATAATAATTATTATTATCATTATTATCATCGTTATTATCATTATTATTATTATTACTATTATTATCATTATCAATATTATTATTATTATTATCATTATACTATGCTTATTACTCTTAATATTATCGTTGATATTATTATAGATTTCATTATTATTGTCTATTATCGTCACGATTACTGATATCATTATAATCATCATTAGTATTATCATTATCATTTCTTTTATTTTCATTATCTTTGTTGTTATTATCATTATTATTCCTATTATTACTGTTATTACTATTATTATTACCGCTGTTATTCTTGCTCTTGTCATTATCCATTTGTACAAAATAAAATCATTATTATGTTTTTTAAATTATCATTATTTTAATTATTATTTTATTATTATCATTATTATGGTAATTATTACCATTATTATGATTATCATCAATCCTATCATTATTATCATTATAAATAATATTGTTACTATTATAATTTTTTCTTATGAATATCTTTGTTTTGATTATAATTATCCTTATCATTATGTTGATGATGATGATAATGATTATCATTATCAATATCATCATCATTATTATTGCTGTTTTATCATTATTTTTTATCAGTCTTATTGTTATTGCTGTAATCTTTTTTACACACTTTTAAAACATTATTGAAATTAATATTATTTTCATAATCATCATTATTATCATCATCATTACTATTACTAGTATCATTATTGCTGTTGGTGCTAATTATTATCATTATTGTTATTATCATTATCATCATTATCAATATTATTTTCATTACTATGATTACCTCCAACGTTATGTTTTTGCTCTCTTTGGTTAGCTAGTTTATTCGTTTATTAGCAAACAAAATAGTTTTAATAGAGGTGTATCTTAGCCAAACTTAAATTGTAAGGGTTACAAAATGCCATTCAATTTTACTGGCGATCCGGATATTATGTGTTCGTTTGTAAGCAGATAACAGTTTATGAAACAGATTTTTATCAAAATGTGTCTTAACCTAACTTTTGGTGGTGATCCGGATACAGGAATTTTTTGAATTATTGTATCAGGAGGTTATGTTTACGGACGTTGCCTGTGTACTTGAGAAAGGTGTTTTCAATGTAATTCTTTGTGTGAATATTTTTATTGCATCAGTGACCTTTAACCTCTCTGAGAGCTTCTAGTTAATAATGTCTTTATTCTTTTTATTTTTTAATTATATTATCATTATTATTATTATTTCTTTTATCTTTTATTGTTAATCATATTGCCATCATTATTATTATCATTACCATCATTATCACTTACTATTATTAATCATTCACTTTCATTATCATCATCACTATTTTTTATTATCGCAATATAGATGTATCTGACCTTTCAATTCTACATACGTCATCTTTTTTCTGTCAAATGCATATTGTGTTGTCGAAATTTTTGTTCTATTTAATTTTTTTCTACATTTGTTGGAATGATCTCCCTTCATCATCGTTAATACTATTATTATTATTATTATTAATAGTAGCAGTATGAACATTACTATTATTAACATGATTATTATCATTGTCATTATCATTTTTATTATTGATATTATTATCATTACGATCATCATTATTATTATAATCTTTATCATTATCATCAATATTGTTATTATTATCATTGCTATTATTATAATTATTGTTATAATCATAAAGAAATGATAATTATCATTGTTATTCTAATTATTTTTACTATGATTAGCACAATTTTCATCACCATTGTTATTGTTATTATCATCATTATGAATATCATTATTATTATTATTATTATTAATTACATTAATATTACTGTCGTTCTTATTATTTTCCTTTTTGTTATGACTATAATCACCATTATGATTTTATGATTATTATTTTTATAATTTTTGATATTACTATTGTTATAATTATAACTATAATAATAATGATAATGATAATAATAATAATAATAATTATTATTATTATTATCATCATTATCATTATTATTATTATTATTATCATTATTATCATCATCTTTATCAGTATCATTATTACTATTATAATTATTATCATTAACTTTGTTATGATCATTACTATTATTATCACTATTATTGCTATATTTTATTCCTATATTAGTATTATCATATTTATTACCATTATCATGATCATTATGATAGTAACATTTGTTGCTGTAATTCTTATAAGCATATCTGTTATCACTCTTAGTGTTAGTGTTATTATTATTATGGTTGTAGTTATTGCCGTTGTTATGACTTACATTCATATAGTTTTAGTATCTATCATTTGCATGCATACAGTCAAGATTTCCGCCAGCGCTTTCGTTATTTTTAGTAATACTGTTGTTAATGATAAAAACAACAGTATTATCTATATCCTTATTATCATCATCATATTGTCAATAGTACTGTTATTGTTCGTAATGATAATATCATCTTTATCATCATCATTTTTACAACTGTTACTGTTATTGTTATAAATATAATTGTTGCACTGTTATCATTATTGTTTTATGTTGCCGTTATTATAGTTGTAATTTTCAGTATCATTACCATCGGCATACCTAGTGTTGTAATTGCCATCATCACCATTGTCATTATTGGCTAGAACTTTTGAATAATGAAAGCCAGTAATTTCATCATCTGTATCCACATTATCGCCATCTCTGCTTTCTTCACAACCCAGCGAAGCCGGCCCTCCGCTTTCCCTATTTGCCTTGACACTTCTCTCCTTGCAGACTTCTCGTGGCTCAAGTGGATCTTTGTCATGGGCGGATTCTTCCTGATTGCAGGGTCATTGCAGGTCAGCTGATGGGTTGGCAGGGCACTGGCTGTGACCTCTGGAGACACAGGGCAACTTTTTTATTATTTTTTTAAGTCGTGAAAAGGACTGCGGTGAGTGACACTGAGGGTGAGGAAGAAGAGGAAGGAGAAGAAGAGGGGAGAGAGAGGGATAGGGAGGGAGAGAGGGATAGTGAGGGAGTAGGGGTAGGGATGGGGAGAGGGAGTTGGAGGTAGATCAAAATGGTAAAGGTCAGTGAAAAAAAAAAAATGGAGTGAGAGAAGGGGAGAGAGGCGGTTTGATTAAGTAAGACAAAGATAGAGAGAGAAGCAAATGGAAGGAAAGAGAATGAGAGAGAGAGTAAGTGTGTGTGAGAGAGAGACAGAGAGAGAGAGAAAAAAAGAGAGAGAGAGAGAGAGAGAGAGAGAGAGAGAGAGAGAAGAGAGAGAGAGAGAGAGAGAGAGAGAGAGAGAGAGAGAGAGAGAGAGAGAGAGAGATGGTGAGTGATAGAGAGAGAGAGATGGTGAGTGATAGAGAGAGAGAGAGAGACGGTGAGTGAGTGAGAGAGAGAGAGAGATGAGAGGGATAGAAAGAGAGAGTGTGAATGAGTGAGTGAGAGTGTGTGTGTGTGTGTGTGTGTGAGAGAGAGAGAGAGAGGGGGGGATCTTTAATATGATAGTATTGCTAAAATCAACTGCACCGAACGGCCGACTTACTACCTGGCCCACTCGGCCCCCCGCAGGTCAACTACATGTACGCGCCCGAGCTGTTCCCGACGGAGTCCCGCGCCCGGGGCTTCGCCTTCGTCCAGCTCGCGGGCAACGTCGGGGCGGCGTGCGCGCCGCTTGTCACGGACGTCGTGGTACGTCGGCTGCCTCACGCATCGGCTCTTGTTTCGCTTGTTATAATGAATTCGCGAGTGATTGTCGCATCTCTGGCAGCGATCTTGTGACTTGCCAACCTTCCTGACAGTCCCAGTATGCGTGGTGGGCGGCGGGCGCGACCTTCGGGTGTGCAGGCATCGTGGGCAGCTTCCTGTTGCCCTTCCTGCCCGAGACGAGGAACCAGCCGCTGCCGGAGACGCTGGAGGACGTGCAGAAGCGAGGGAGGAAGAATAAAAAGAAGAGGGAGGACGCGGGCCATGGCGCCGAAAACGCAGCTTACGTCGCGGAAGGAGAGTCGAGCGGGAAGGTCTAGCTGCCTCGGCGGCGGGGAGGTGCGAGGGGAGCCTGTAGTGAGATGACACCTCCGCTCCTACTTGCCGCTCTCGCCCCTGTGTATGCACACACCTGACGTCACCAAACCCCCACACCCCCAACTACCCCTGGCGCCAGGCCGTAGCGGAAACTAGAAGGCGCAGCAGGCGATCCTGAAGGAGGCGCTGACGAGCGATCGGGACGCCCTGGACAGGATGATACGGTAGTTATTGAGGAGGAGGAAGCTGCCTGTTTGCCTACTCGACGTTTGGCCGTTTAAGATGGAATTTACGCGGAGGAGCTGGCGACGGGCATGACGAGCGGGTGTTCGGCGCCAAGCCTTGTTGGCTAGTCGGCGTAATTTCAAATTCTTTTATGTTTTAATTCCTGTATGTATTTTTTCGTTTCTTTTATGAATATGATTTATGTTGTTTTTATTGAATGATTCCTATTTTATTGTCAAAGGAAATTGAGCAATCGTAAGGGAAGAAAAGTTATAACGACCCTGTAACGAGTCTTGCTGGGCAGACTCGAGGGGACTGACCTTGGCGCCTGACCTTATGGGTATAAAATGTCGGGTCAGTGCCCCTGAAAATTTAGCCTCCAGGCTAGTATAGTGGTAACGTGTCGGCTTCTCATCCGAGGGGTCGGCGGTTCGCGCCCCGCCCAGGCGCGAGAAGTTGCAATTGTCGCTCAGAGGTTACTGCTGTGGCTGGGCACCACGGTGGGTAAGGACTAAGCTCTGTCGCGTCAGCACTTACTGACACACGTTGATCGAGCTGACATCTGTCGGCATAGGCCGGGGTCCCCCATAGCCCGGGCGAGGCTCAGCTTCGCACATCGGACTTATCCTTATCCACTGAAAATTAGTTGCGACTTGCTTTTGGCTCTGTGGAATACGTTCGGCTTTCCCTCAGAAAGCCGACGTTTTTAGCGTTTTATTTTCTCTTACTCTATGGATATAGCAGAGATTCGTCAATTTTAAGGTATTGTTTATTTGTGTTTTATTTTGATTGCTCTTTTTTGGTGGAGGTTTTTATTATTGTGTATTGTTTTATGGCTTAATAATAATGATGGTGACCGTACTGGCTTTTGCTTTTATTTATCATGTTTCATTGTTATTGGTTTAA